CAGGGAGCCCGATGTGGGACTCGATCCCGGGACTCCAGGATCATGACCTGAGCCAAAGGCAGTTGCTTAACCAACTGAGCCACCCAGGCGCCCCAAGACTTGGAGTTCTTCTGACACTGGAAGAGATGGATGACAACCAGCTGTGATCTGCAGCATTATACTCATTCCAAGAACAGGTGGCTATCAAGTAAAAACTTTACCCTTCTTAAGATAAAGTGGAACAGCTCAGTTCTAGTTCCCTGAATGTCATTTGAAATCCTAATTCCATTGGAATGACAAGAGTATTAACAATTCCCAAGTCAACACAGCTGGTTGAACAACTGAAAACGTGCGTACATTTATGATACCTCACGTAAGAGGATGCAAAGGACTCTACACATCTCAATGGTGGCTTTGTTGCGATGGTTATTACAAAAGCAGTTCCCTTCTGCTCACTGAGGTATCTTTTTGTGAGCTGTACGATATATCTTAGTGCATGAGGAGTTAGCTGATGCGGGGTGCCACACTTTGAGGCAGGGTGTGTGGGTCCCAGCGAAATGGGCTAAGACACAATATGGTTGCAGCCACGTGCGAGGGAGGACGAGGTAGCCACGGCAGAAAGGGGCTCGTGTGGACTGGACCAATGCACTGGGTAACAGGCAGAAAGACAACAGTTTCTTGGGCATGGCTAGCTGGCCAATCCTAGGAATCCCAGGAACCAAGCGAGGACTAATTCCAGGTCCTACCCCTAAAATGTGGGTGAAAACTTTTATTTTTGGTTAGGGATGATCAGGATTGGCTTGGCCTTGAATGGGGGGAGGTGGCTCTTGCTGAGCTTGTGGGTTATAGTCCTCAATGCTCACAGATGAACCTCTAACTTAGGACAAAAACGGAGGCTAATAATACAAACACCCCCACGGGGTGTTAGTTAATATCTTTTTCTCCCAATTATCATTCAGCTGAATTCTTAGGGGTTCATCAAAAGAATAAGAGGAAAAACAGAAAATGATCAACAAGGCATTCTACAAGGCATATCA